ACTGAAGAGTACTACTTCATCTATTCTGAATGCTGCTATATATATATATTTTTTTTTTTAAGTTTTGAGACAGGGTCTCGCTCGGTCATGCAGGTTGGAGTGCAGTGGCATGATCATGGTTCACTGCAGCCTCAATCTCCTGGGCTCAGGTGATCCTTCTACCTCAGCTTCCCGAGTAGCTGGAACCACAGGTGTGTGCCACTACACCTGGATAGGTTGTTATTTTTTATTTTGTAGAGACGAGGTTCCCTATGTTTCTCAGGCTGGTCTCGAACACCTGGGCTCAAACGATCCTCCCACTTTGGCCTCCCAAAGTGCTGGAATTAGAGGGGTGAGACACTGGGCCTGGCCAGGATGGCCATTTTTATGTGGCAACTTGACTGGGCCATGGGGTTCCCAGACATTTGGCCAAACCCTATTCTGGGAGTGTCTATGAGGGTGTTGTGAAAGAGACGAACATTGGGGTTTGTAGACTGAGTAAGGCAGATTATTCTCCCTAATGTGGGTGGGTCTCATTCGATCAACTCAAGATGTGAACAGAATAAAAAGCTAAGTAACCAGAAGCCCCTCTTCCCTGACTGCTTGAGCTAGAACATTGGTCTTTTCTTGTCTTTGGACTGGAACTGAAGCAACCCCTCTTTCTGGGTCTCAAGCCTGCTGGCCTTTAAACTGAAACTCACATCATTGGCTCTCCTAGGTCTCCAGATTGCAAACTGAAGATCTCAGGACTGCTTAGCTTCCATTATCAATGACCAATTCCTTGTAATAAATCTCTACACACACACACACACACAGACACATGCACACCCTGCCAGTTGTTTTTCTGAAGATTCCTAATGCTTAGTTCCAGGATTTTCATCTGGGATAGTCTCCCCCGACTTCTCAGTCCATGCAGTTTAGGTCTGTTTCTGCCGGGGCTGCTGAGCTTTGGGGATTTAAGCCTAATCTGCTGGTGGCGATTTTCTCACCAGGAGGAACAAGTCTGCCTGACAACGAGCAGTGAGAAGCATGCACCCAGAGACGGGACAGCTGGCTTCAAATCTTAATTTTGTTCTTAATTCTTAATCATTCAAGTTCAAAATCATTCTTAATTTTGTTCAGAGGGAAAAAATAGCATCTTGTTTTAAGTTACATCTCTATGATTACTAAGGAGGTTGAATATCTTTTCTTTTTTTTTTTTTTTTTTTAGACAGAGTCTCGCTGTGTCGCCCAGGCTGAAGTGCAGTGGTGCGATCTTGGCTCACTGCAACCTTCGCCTGCCGGGTTCATGCCATTCTCCTGCCTCAGCCTCCTGAGTAGCTGGGACTATAGGCGCCCACCACGACGCCTGGCTAATTTTTTATATTTTTAGTACAGATGGAGTTTTACCGTGTTAGCCAGGATGGTCTCGATCTCCTGACCTCGTGATCTGCCTGCCTTGGCCTCCCAAAGTGCTGGGATTACAGGCATGACCCACCGCGCCTGGCCATATCTTTTCATATTATTTAGTTAGCCTGTGATTTCGTGTTTTAAGAATTGCTTTTCTTATCCTTTGCCCATTTTCCTAAGTTACTTCTTATTTATTTGAAGGAGCTCTTTATATATGATGGACAACAATCCTTTGTCTGTAATAAAGCACTGTGAAATAAATAGAGGTTTGGAGACAGATGGGAACCTGAGCCCAGAGATCTTCCGGAGTAGGCAGGAGCTGGCTCTTACCTGACTCCGGTCCTCTGGATCCACAAAGATATTTTCAGCTGTCACATTTCCATGAACATACTCATTCTCATGGAGGAACTCCAGGGCATCCAGCTGGGGGAAGAAGCAAGCCAGTGTCTGCACAAGCAGTAAGACTAACACAGCCTCTGGTGCAGACTGGGGCAGGGAGCCCCACTATTAAGGCCTGGGGTCGTCTGGCACTGTGACTGGGGGTTAAACCTGACTAAATCTGGGGCAGCATGAGGAGCCCGCTGTGATAGCACATTGAGCATGCCTCTAATCAGGCTGTCAGGGAGCTCACCAGTTGAGCTAATGCGTGGCTTCCTATATTTCTCTCTTAGCTGATGGCAAACTCAGGAGAGGGAGAAGGGGTTAGTGTCTGTCTGCAAAAATGACTCAGTACCTGTGAATATCAAAAGAGCACTTCTCACCTGTCCTAGAGAGCAGAAATCAATCTTGTTAAGCAATTTATATCTTGATCTCCAGCTCCAGCTGTCCCACTGAGCTCCAGACTTTTTTTTGGTGTGTGTATATATACATATTTTTGAGACAGGGTCTCATTCCTGTTGCCCAGGCTGTAGTGCAGTAGTGCAATCACTGCTCACTGTAGCCTTGATTTCCCAAGCTCAGGTGATCCTCCCACCTCAGCCTCACAAGTAACTGGGACTACAGGTGCGCACCACCACACCCGGCTAATTTTTTCTAGTTTTATTAGAGAGGGCATTTTGCCATGTTGCCCAGGCTGGTCTTGAACTCCTGAGCTCAAGTGATCCACCTGCCTCGTCCTCCCAAAGTGCTGGGATTACCAGCGTGAGCTGCTGCACCAGGCCAACTCTTCAACTGTGTCTGCTGCCCGAGTATCAGCTACATTCCAATCATATCCCCAACATTCTTTGACCCCAGGGCCAAAGTTCTGCTCGTTCTCCTTCTATAGACTCTCCATCCCCAGGGCCCGGGACCCTCCTCAGCCTTGTCCTCTCCAAATGGACCCTCACTCAGATTCTTCTCCCCATTCCAGTCCCTCCCCACATGGCCCCTGAGGGCCTTTCTGTATCCAGAGCTGACCCTGCCCTCCCCTAATCCCAGCACTCTTGTGGCTCTCCAGTGCCCTCAAGACAGATCCCAGCCCCTCGGCCTGCTGTGCAAGGCCCTTTGTGATGTGGTCATTGCTGACCTGTCCACACCAACTCCATCTCTCCCCACTGCAGGGCCATAGTGCAGACACTGAACATAAAGACCTTAGGACTCAGCATGTCGCTCCCTTGGTATGTCCATCCCTCCAGCGATGCAAACTGGGCCCTCTTATTCTCCATCACAGCAGGGGCCGCTTCTACTCAGAGCACTCCTCATAGTTTGTGCAACTGTTTGATTTACTATTGGCCCCTCCCACTACACTGTGAGCTCCAAGACACAGAAACCATGTTTGTGCTGCTCCCTGCTCTGCACCCAGCCCTGGGACAGCATCTGGCACCCAGCAAGTGACTGATTAATATTTAATGAGGATGAATGAATGAATTAATGAACAAATGCCATATGCTCTCTATTCCACATAAGCCTTGCTCCAGCTGTATCCTTGGCCGAAGCATCCTCTCATCTATCCTCTGCCTCTTCCACCCAGCACCTCGCTATTTCCATTCATCCTGAGTCTTGGCTTAGAAACACCCTCCACCAGGAAGCCTAATCTAAGCCTTCAGTTTGAGGCTGGGGCTCCTTCCTCCAATGCTCATGGCCCCCCAAGGGCCCTCCACAGGACTGACCCCCCAACATCCTGGCTCTAACCGCCTGCCATGTCAGTGAGCCAACCCCTAGTGTGCGGCGGAGGGAGGTGGGGGCCGGATGTGTCAATGACTGAAGAGCCTGCTAAACTAGGATCTGACGCGCCCTCCCTGACGCAGCAGCTCAGCAACTTCCGGGTACGCACCAGCCGGCAGGCCACCTGCAGCACAGACCTCTCTGACAGCACATGCTCTGGGCTGACATCCAGGGCCGACTGAAGGCTCCTCCCCAGGCTGGGTAACACCAAGAACCTGGAAGACACAAGCACCCCAGGAGGTGGGCGATGAACAGGGGAGAGAGGAGAACTGGCTGCCCAGGATGGACTGTGGCGGGGGCTGCAAGGCCCTGGTCCCAGGTGAGATGAAAGGTTCTGACTGGCTGGGCAGCAAACTGGGTCAAAACTACGAGAAGGTAGGAAGAACTGGCCCACAGCTTCGGGGTCCCAGCCATGCCTGGACTCACGACAGGAAGAGGAGGAAAGGGGCCAGTGAGGCAACCAGTGAGTAGAGCAGCTCACCTGTATTTGTCCTGGTGAACACCGAAACCCATGCAGGTAGGGATGGCCAGTTGTGGGGTCGAGTACAGCTTCTTCCACTTGTTGACTGTGGAAAACAGGGGCTTGAGGTTAGAACACAGCCAGTCCCAAGCCCATGGCAATAACAGCCAGTTCTCAGAGCAGAAGCACAGAGTGCCCAGACCGCCTCTGAGTCTCCTTGTCGGAGATGACAACATTGTGGGTGGGTGACTGTGGGAAGCGGCTGGTGATGGGGCAGGCATGGGTGACCCATGAACGTCTGTGATCAGGTCTGTAGGTGATGGGGTGAACATGGTGGTTCTGGAGGAAGCGTATACAAATCTGGAGTGCAGAGATGGGATAATGACAGGGTTACTTCCGAATTCACACACAGAGCTAACAAGATCAACACGTGTCTAATCTAGCCATGACATCACCAGAATGTGCCTCTGCCTGTCTTCCAGATGTCAGCAGGGTGGACCAGAACCAATGGCAGCTGACGCTAGTTTAACAGCTGGCTGTCCAGGGAAGTCAGTCCTGATGGGTAGCATTTGCTAATTTCTTTTTTCTTTTTTTTTTTAAGACGAAGTTTCACTACATTGCCCTGGCTGGAGTGCAACAGCGCAATCTTGGCTTACTGCAACCTCTGCCTCCTGGTTTTAAGCGATTCTTCTGCCTCAGCCTCCTGAGTACCTGGGATTGCAGGTGTCTGCCACCAGACCTGGCTAATCTTATTTATTATTTATTTTTTTGAGATGCAGTCTTGCTCTGTCGCCAGGCTGGAGTGCTGTGGTGTGATCTCGGCTCACAGCAACCTCCACCTCCCAGGTTCAAGCGATTCTCCTGCCTCAGTCTCCTGAGTAGCTGGGATCACAGGCACGTGCCACCACGCCCAACTAATTTTTGTATTTTCAGTAGAGACAGGGTTTCACCATGTTGGCCAGGATGGTCTCGATCTCCTAATCTCATGATCTGCCCACTTTGGCCTCCCAAAGTGCTGGGATTACAGGCGTGAGCCACCACGCTCAGCCCTTTTTTTGTATTTTCAGTAGAGATGTTTTGCCATGTTGGCCAGGCTGGTCTTCAACTCCTGACCTTAGGTGATCTACCCACCTCGGCCTCCCGAAGTGTGGGGATTACAGGCGTGAGCCAGCACACCCGGCTGCATTTGCTAATTTCTGCAGTGTAAATACTCCTGCTATGGCTAACTCCAAGTTACCAACATGACATGACTGGAGGTGGGTCGGGGAGACGCACAGCGGCAGCCGCCATGCGGCATTCTTTCCACACAGAGACAACAGTGCACACAACCTCACTGGCAGAGATCACAGGACATGTAGGGAAATAATTAGAAAGTGATGAATTTCTGAGGGTTCATTACCTTTGTTTTGAATATATTTGTAAGATTATCTAATTTATTTATTTTATATATTTTTTGAGACTGAGTATCACTCTACCGCCCAGGCTGGAGTGAAGTGGCATGATCTCAGCTCACTGCAACCTCCACCTCCCAGGTTCGAGTGACTCTCCCGCCTCAGCCTCCCATGTAGCTAAGATTACAGGCACATGCCACCAAGCCTGGCTAATTTTTGTATTTTTAGTAGAGATGGGGTTTCACCACGTTGGCCAGGCTGCTCTCGAACTCCTGATCTCAGGTGATCCACCCACCTCAGCCTCCCAAAGTGCTAGGATTACAGGCGTGAGCCAACACGCCCGGTCTATATAATTTAATTGCTAATACTAGCTATATGTAACTACCAGCTTGCCATCTTCCTGAAAATTTAATTTTTTTTTTTTTGAGACAGGGTCTGGCTCTGTTGCCCAGGCTGGAGTGCGGTGGCACAATCACAGCTCACTGCAACCTCCACCTCCCAAGCTCAAGCAATCCTCCCACCTCAGCCTCTTGAGTAGCTGGAATCACAGGCGCGTGCCACTACACCCGGCTAATTTTTATATTTTCAGTAGCGATAAGGTTTTGACATATTGCCCAGGCTGGTCTCAAACCCCTGAGCTCAAGTGATCTGCCCACCTCAGCCTCCCAAAGTGCTGGGATTATAGGCGTCAACCCACACCCAGCCTGAAAACGTAATACTTGGCTTCCAAGAGCTGGTGTGAGCCAGCCACAACACACACTGAGGCCTGAAGGGTGACAGGAGTCAGGTTATGGGCACAGATGGAAGCAAACCTGGGCCTATAATCTAAACCCACCCTTCTCACGCCAGCAGGTAGAAGCCAGGGGCTGTGACCACGTTGGCGTCCCCCTCACTCTCCCCTCCTTGCCCAGTTCCCTGCCAGGTACCTTGCAGAGGCTTGGCGGCCCGCTGGAAGAAGTTCTGCTCATTGAACAAGCGCCCATCCTTGGCATCCTGGTGGGGGACAGGAGAGGCAGAAGGCTGTCACACTGAAGTCTCAGACAAGGGCCCCCAGTTCCCACTGGCAATTTAGTACTCCCTCGATGATGAGGTTCCTCATCGAGTCCCCACATCAGAGCCAGATTCCTCAGGTACTACACACAAACACACATCAGAGACTGCGAGCTACCTCCCGGTACCCAGGTTTCTTTTCTAAGAGCCACAGTGTTCCCTAGAATGTGGCGTTCAGTTTAAAAACTACGTTTCCCAGCCTCCTTTGCAGTGAGGAACGACCACATGACCAAGTTTTGGCCAATGAGGATGTGAGCAGAAGAAACGTGGGCAACTTCCAGGTGATGCCCTTAAAGAGCTTTCCTTTCCTCTTCTGTTCCAGCTGGCTGCAATGCAGATGTGATGGTGGAAGCTGAAGCAGCCACTACAGCCCAAGAGATGCAGGTTATGCGTTGAAAATGTTGGTGCAAAAAGACAGAAGGAAACAGGGCCCCTTGTTTATAAAATCATCATATCAGCTCTGGAAAACTGCCCCTGATTTTAAGTGAAAAAGCAATAAAAATATCATCTTGCTTAAGCCACTATTAATATTGGGTATTTGTTAAAAATGACACCAATGGCCAGGTAGGGTGGCTCAAGCCTGTAATCCCAGCACTTTGGGAGGCCAAGGCAGCTGATGGATCACTTGAGGTTAGGAGTTCTAGATCAGCCTCGCCAACATGGTGAAACCCTGCTTCCACTAAAAATACAAAAATTAGCCAGGCGCGGTGGTGCGTGCCTGTAATCCCAGTTACTCGGGAGGCTGAGGCAGGAGAATTGCTTGAACCTGGGAGGTGCAGATTGCAGTGAGCCAAGATCGTACCTTCAGCCTGGGTGACAGAGTGAGACTCTGTCTCAAACAAACAAACAAACAAAAACAACAGCACCACCAAATATTTTAATTAAAACACAACTCGTGCAGCTGGGTTCTTAAGAGTACAGAGTCGGCTGGGCACAGGTGGCTCACCCCTGTAATCCCAGCACTTTCGGAGGTGAAGGTGGGAGGATCACTTGAGCCCAGGAGTTCCAGACCAACCTGGGCAACACAGGGAGACCTCATCTCTATCAAAAAAAAAAAAAAAAAAAAATCAGCTGGACGTGGTGGTGCATGCCTGTGGTCCCAGCTACTTGGGAGGCTGAAGTGGAAGGATCACTTGAACCTAGCAGACCGAGGCTGAGTGAGCCTTGATTGCACTGCTGCACTCCAGCCTGGGCAACAGAGAGAGACTCTGTCTCAAAACAAACAAAAACCCAAAAGAATTAAATGACATGATGCTTGTGACACTCAGCCCAGGGACTGTCACATAATAGGTTCTCAATAAGCAGGTGCTGCTACTGGTCATTAGTGAGCCTAGCTCCCTGCCCCAGCTCCTCCTCTTCTTGTCCTTCCTTTTCCCTTTTTGCGTCCTGGAGTCCTCCCCACGATGCCGGCGAAGCCCATAGTGACTGACACGAGCGACATAGGCACAGCCATGTAGGCCCTGAGCAATCTCACGTGGTGTATTCATGCCTGCCCCACTCTCCCAAGGGGGCAGCTCCTTCAGGGCAGCAATCGGGTCTGACCCATCTCTGCAGAAGTCCCCAGCACTCAGTTCACAGGAGGCTGCAGGAAAGGCTTGGTGAATGAATGAATAAATCGATGGATGAACACCACTGGGCATTCAACCCCGATCTTTCGAATGCTTCAGAACAGAGCTGCCTTCCCAGTGGATGGGAGGGTGAATGTCCTCTGGTCAGACGGGTGCCCTGTGCTCCCCTTCCAGTCCATCCCTCTTCCTGATGGGACTGGGACATGGCACGGCCCCCGCCAGACTGGGAGCTTCTCCAGGGCTGGGCCTGGGGCCAACTCTTCATCCCCGAGTTTTGAGCCTCAGGAAATGCTGATGAGATTAGATGCACGAACAGAGAGCAAGGCTGTATTTCTAGGATGATGAGCGTAATTACAGTAGTAATAACAGGAACAGCTCAGGTTGATGGGGTGCGTACTGTGCCAGGCACACCTGAACCACGCAGAGAAGCATTAAATGGGACACGGTAGCTGCCCCGCTGGGAGGATTCAATGAAGCAGTGCTTGTGAAACACAGCCTGGTTCAGGCCATGCCAGGCTCTCAAAGCAGGTGCTACCCATCACTAGTGAGCCCAGCTCTACAGCCCACGCTCTGACCCACTCTCATGGTCTCCATCTAGGGCGGAGGGAGGGCAACCCACCCAGCTGTCCCTGGTTTTCTGGGGTGGGAGACAATTTGGATAAACAAAAAGAAAATAAAAGTCACCCGTAATCCCAGCACCCAGGGATGATGGCGGGGTTATGAACCATGACGATGCCCTTCTGTTAGGCACCTCCTCTGTGTGGAAGGCAAGACTCACCCTCGTGGCCACTCTCCCTTTCTCTTTGTTTCCTTTTGGCCCCACCCTCGAGCGCACATGTCCGACAGCTGAAACTCATGCTTGGCCCCTGATGTGTGATTTCACTGAATCCTCAGCACGGGGACCCCATCTGATGGGTTCTCTGTTGGACCCCACACCCAGCACGGTGATACACAGTAGGTGCTCGATATGTGCACACTGCGAGGCCGGTGGTAGGGGGCAGGTGGGCCACACCCTGTGGGTATCAGTGGCTCCATTTCATGGATGAGGAAACTGAGTTCTGAGGGGGATGGGCTTGCCCAGGTCACACAGCCGGGGAGCATCAGAGCCAGACTCGGGTGGATCCAACTGTCGGTTTCTAACACCCCGGGATGATGGACAACTGGGTGCCTGCCCTGCCCACGGATTCATTGCTCCTTGCAGGTGGGGACCCTGGTCCCCAATCGAGTTCTCCCAGCGAGGGGCTCAGAAGTCAAGGATGTGTTTGTGAAAGTCCCTCCCCTCCAAGCTGCCCCCCACCTGCAGGGTCACTTACCAGTTTGAGCGAGAACTTTTGCTTCTGGAGTTCTGAGTCACAGGCGAGGGCGGAGGTGGGTGCAGCTATGGGGGAACAAACAAGGGAGCGAGGTTATAACCGCAGGGAAGGTCAGGGTCATCGTCCCCAAACTTCCCAGCAATGAGGAGCGGCTCTGGTGCCCTGGTTCCGACAAGGTCAAGCGCACTCTTGGCTCTCACGACCTGCGGCTTCCTAGTTTTAAATAAGCTTCCTTTTCCTCTTTCTCTCTGTCACTATCCAGCTGCGCAGGAAGGGTTAATGCAGCAGGCTTGAGGCGGCTCTCCTGGCAAGATCTGGGAGCCTGGATTCTGGCAGGGCTCCCAGAATCCCCTAAGTGATTGGGGCTCGCTGAGCCTAAACTGCTTGTGCAATCACTGTGGTTTCTGTGCAACGCCTTCTTTCCCCTGGGGAACCTGGAATGCGGATACATGTCAGACAGAGGGGGTCACATGAGCTCCCCAGTAACAGCCCTGGGCACTGAGCCTCTGAGGAGCTTCCTGGTGGACAGTTCCCACGTACTGTCACAGCCTGTGGCTGGGGAATTAGGGGCGTCCTAGTGCAGAGTGACCTCATCCAAGGCCACATCCCAGGGTGACCCAGGTCCAATGATTAAGGTGGACATAAAGGCCCAGCCTCTCCTGGCCCAACACGGACCCACGCTGAAGGACCACTTCTGCTCCAGAGCCCCGCAGGGTCGTCTGGGGCCATCACTGGGCTGCATCACAGCGCCGCCTCCCGCTCTGCCCCGCCTGCTTCCTTACCCCTCCCTGGGTTCTGATTCCTGAGGCAGCTCCCCATAAGCACCCTGTCTGCTTGTTCCTCGACAGAGCCTGCTCCAGGAGCCCTTACTGTTCATTTACAGACCCCACCACGTCTCCGGCCCTGTGCTAAGTGTGGGCTTCACATGCATCGTCCCATCTGACAGACGAGAAGAGGAGAGAGGCCAAGAAACGCCAGGCTGGCCAGGGTTCAAATCCCAGCTCCTCCCTCCACTCTCCGTGTGACTTTGGGCCTCCATTTGCATGTCTGGAAGATCGGAGCAATAAGGCCTACCCGGAGACTGGCTGCAAGGACTCAACAGACAGGCAGGAGTAAGAGCGGCACCAGCGATGTGTGCAGCAAGAGTCTGCGTCCCCCTGCACGCACACTGCACGGTGAACCCACTCAGCCCAGAGCCCAGCACGGAGCCTGGCGTGTCAGGATTGCTCCACAGGTGACAGCTTTAAAACATCCCCATAACACCAGGGCTCCGCAGCTGGGGAGTGGCAGAGCTGGCTCGACCTGGGTCTCCCTAATCCCAAAGCCCGTGAGCTAAGCTACTGTTGCCCACGCACCCTGACTCATGCTGGTGTCCCTCCTTCCTCTGCTCTCATCGCTCCCACCCTCCCTTCACCATCGAGGCTGGTATCATCTCAGACACTGGGCTGAAGGACGGCGGGGGGTGACAAAGTAACCAAGAAGCCGTCCTTGCCCTCAAGAAGCTCCAGCTGCAGCAGGGTTGGGAGCCAGCTCTACACGTCCAACGCCAAGGGTGCTCTGAGCCCAAGGGAAGAGAGAGAGACTTATGCAGGACCCACATCTTGGAGAAAGACAGGTCTTTTCCAGCTGTGGGGAGAGCACTGGGGGGGATCATGCTGGAGCAGGCCGTGACATCATGACCAAGCATCCGCCCCTGTCTGGAACCCAGGCACAGGAACAGTACCTGTCTCTCAGAGGCACCATGAGGTCAATGACAATGCATACATGCCTGGCACTCAGAGGCAGGCAGGAAAAGCTGGCAATTTGATATAATTTTCCTGCACTGCTTTGCAGATTATAGAAAGCTTTTCTCTTTAACTTTTTTAACTGGTCCTGCTGCCAACAGCCTGGAAAGCTAGCTGGGCAATTTCCAATGTAGAGGGAGTCAAGGGAGGCCAGAAGGGAAAAAGGGCTTGGCCAAGGGCCCCAACGGAGACGGGCCACAAGCCCAGGGCTCTAGACTCTGTGATCTGGGGTGGCAGATCCGGGTTTCTGCTTGACAGAAACCTGACACATGGAAAAACTCTACGTGTGCCAAATGAAGACTTGGGCCTGCCAGGCAGGCAGGTGAGCGCCTCCCCTTGCCAAAGTCAGCCGGTCCTGAACTTAGAGCAGGAGCACTGTTCTGGGACTCATCCTGACCCTAACACCAGGGAGCATGTACACGGCGCTGGCTATTTTCCCGGCATCACTCTACTCATTTCACTCTCCTGACTACAGCCCTGTGAGGGCAGTAGCATTACCACCTCCCCTTTGCAGATGAGGAAACTGAGGCACAGGGTCACGCTGTCATTTGAAAGGTCAAGCGACAAGTGGCCAACAGAGGCAGCCCAGCCCATTGCTGAGCTCCAGGGTGCCCCATGCCTTCTACCTCCCGAGGCCCTGCTGGGGACCCTGACTGACTTCTCCTTTCCGGCCTCCAGAAGGAACCGACAGAGCCAACACCTAAACTCCGTACCCAGTGATTCTGGACTGCTGGCCTCCAGAGCTGCAGGAGAATAAGCATGTGCTGTGTTAAACCACTCACCGTGGTAACTTGTTACAGCGGCCACAGGAAGCTAACACAAGCCCCACCTTCCATCCGTGAAGGCAGAGGCTGTGGAGGGCAGCATGTGCCTGACCCTGAGCTGCTGCTCATGGACAGCTCTCCCCAGCACGCCGCAGTGAGCAGCTGCAGGGACTCATGTGACTGACGACAGATGGTGGCTCCCCCACACAGCTCCGGGGAGGCCCAGGAGTATGACATTATAATTCAGTACTGGACAGAGAGATAAGGGTTAATCAAGTGCTTAGAGCATGGCGCAGAGTGGGATAAAAGCGTCCACTGCTCGAATAACTGTAACGATTCAGCTTGTTCTTGTTTTATCATTATTGCATTAAGCTACGGGACATACAACTCCACCACCTCTTCTCGACTGGTGCAAACTGGCAGAAGAAAAGGGCGATGTGCTCTGGGGCGATGCCACCCGATGGTGGTGTGACCCAAATGCAAGCTCTGCATCAGCAGGGTCTTCACCAGCCCCGCTCCCCCTGCACAGTGTCTGTGACGGCACCGCGGCCAGGCACACGGTAGGTGCTGCTTAAGGATCCACTGAGCCGCCGGGTGCAGTGCTCACGCCTGTAATCCCAGCACTTCGGGAGGCTGAGGCAGGAGGATGGCATGAGGCCAAGAGTTTGAGATCAGCCTGGCCAACATAGTGAGATCACCTCTACTTTAAAAAATAAATAAATAAAGGGACTGCTGAAGGAATGGATGACTCAGGCAGGTTGGGCGCTGGGGTTTGCTATTTTTATCAAACAACCCGAGTCATAAAAGGCAAAACTGAAACCACACTGGCCCAGAGTAGCCCCTTCCTGTGCTTTCACTGTGGGTTTCCGGGGAGGGCAAGTGTGGTTTCTTCTCTCAGGAGCTCCTGGCCCAGTGTGTTTTCCTCTCCTTCTCCCTCTTCCTTCCCCGCCCTCCTGCCTTCTCCCCGCTCTGCCCTCTCCCCTCAATCTCCTTCTCACGATTGGTTTTCATCCCTCTCCCTTTCTCCTCGCTCTGTGCTCCTCGGTCCCTCATTCCTTCTCATCCAGATGCCTTCTCGCTCTTTCTCCCCAACCTCTCCTTCTGCTTTCTCTCCCGTTCTTGGGAGAAGCCAGAGTGCCTGCGTTCAAATCCCAGCTCTACAACTTCCAGGCTGTGTGCCTTTGGACAAGTAGCTTCCCCTCTGTGCCCCAGCTGTAGGATGGGTAATACGGGTGCCTATCTCACAGTGTGGCTGGCAGCATTACATGGGTAAGACACAGAGAGTTCCCAAAGTGTCTGGCATGGGATCCTGCCCGTAATCCCAGCACTTTAGGAGGCTGAGGCAGGAAGATTGCTTGAGCCTGGGAGGTTGAGGCTGCAGTGAGCCGTGACTGCACAACCGCACTCCAGCCTGGGTGATGGAGCAAGACTCCATCTCTTAAAAATAAAAGTGCTGGCACAGGCGAGTGCTCCCTAGGTGTTAGCCACGGCCCTCTTTCTCTTGCTCCTGCTTGGTCTTGGTCACACTCTTTCCCCTCTCCGTCACCTTTCCTGGCCCTGCCTATCTGTCCCTGTTATTAACACTGCCTACCTCTGCCTCGGAACGACCCTGTACAGTTTTCCAAGTGCCTGGCCTCCATCTCCTATCATCATTTGAGCCAACAGCCCAAGGAGACAGGGGGCAAGGCTTCATCTCACTTTTCCAGTGGGGGATATCAAGGCATAGAGTGCCTGAGCGGTTCGCTGGGGCTCCCTCAGCCTGTTGGAGCCAAGTCAGGACTCAGATTCGGGGCTGTCTGAAACACCAGCTGTCCTGCCCGCCCGCCCATACTCCAAGGCAGGGATGGCCAATGGAAGGTTCAAAATTGCCCACATGCTTGTCTGGCCAGTGGGTACTTCCAAATCAAAGATTTCCTATCGAAATCCAGGTTTCAAGCTTTTCCTAGAAAACCTGGAAGATTCTGGAGCCCAGAGCCTAGCTAATAATTGACACCTCTGGGATCCATGTTCTTCACGTATAAAATCAGGATAGGGATAGCACTGATACCCTAAGGCTGTGGTGAGAATGTAGCAGACCTCTGTCCATCAAATAACTTGTAAGCAAATATTCACGGCAGCGTTACTCCTAACAGCCCACAGTGGAAACAACCCAAACGCCCATCAGCTGCTGAGTGGCGAAGCCACACGGGGTGCTCCCATACCGTGGAATATCACGCAGTTGTAAAAGGACTGTGGCAGTAACGCGCCACAGCACGGATGCAACTTGGGCACATGCTGCTGAGTGAGGGATGCCAGACACAAGAGGCCACACGGTGCAGGACTCCACTTCTGTGAACACCCAGAAGGGGCAAATCCACAGAGGGAGAAAGGCGGTTAGTGGCTAACAGTGGATGGGAGGAGAGAGGAATGGGAGTGATGCCTCAAAGGTACTGGGTTTCTTTTTGGGGTGACAGAAATGTCCTGGGATTAAATAGTGATGATGGTGGCACAACACTGTGAATATCCTGAAGGCCACTCAGTTGCACCCTTTAAAAGAATGAATTTTTGTGGTAACTTATGCCTGTATTCTCAGCACTTTGGGAGGCCGAGGCAGGTGGATCACTTGAGGTCAGCAGTTCAAGATCAGCCTGGCCAACATGGTAACACCCTGTCTCTACCAAAAATACAAAGAAAAAAAAAAATTTAGCCAGGTGTGATGACACGTGCTTGTAATCTCAGCTACTCGAAAGGCTGAAGCAGGAGAATTGCTTGAACCCAGGAGGTGGAGGTTGTAATGAGCTAAGATCGCGCCACTGTACTCCAGTCTGGGCGACAGAGCAAGACTCTCTCAAAAAAAAAAAAAATTAATTAATTAATTAAATAAAATAATAATAAAAGAATAACTTTTTTTTTGAGACGGAGTCTTGCTCAATAACGTCTTTTTTTTTTTGAGACATAGTCTCGCTCTCTCACCCAGGATGGAGTGCAGGGGTGCAACCTCGGCTCACTGCAAGCTCCACCTCCCTCGTCACACCATTCTCCCGCCTCAGCCTCCCAAGTAGCTGGGACTACAGGTGCCTGCCACTACGCCCAGCTAATTTTCGTATTTTTAGTGGAGATGGGGTTTCACCGTGTTAGCCAGGATGGTCTCTATCTCCTGACCTTGTGATCCGCCCACCTCGGCCTCCCAAAGTGCTGGGATTACAGGTGTGAGCCACCGCGCCCAGCCAATAAAAGAATAACTTTTATGTGAGTTTTATCTCAATTAAAAAGCTCCGAAAAGAAAGGAAAAGAAAAACCCATGTAAAGTGCTCAGAACAGGCCTGGCCTTGCAGAAGCACTCAATATTTAGTAGAGTTAATACTAACACTACTGCCATAATTATTTTCCTCATTGTAACAGAGTCTGGGTTTTTCAGCCTCATGCCTCCCTCCTCCCCTTCCATTCCACACCTGGGCAAGCGGATGAGCAAGCCTGAGTGCTCCCTCCTTTGGGGTCTGCATCCACAAGACTCAAACCATGCGTGGTGTTGGCCTGTGTGGCGGAACCCTCAGCCCAGCCCCACCCCCAACTACAATGAAACACCTGGCCAGTCTCCTTTCCTCACTCTCAAGGCATCTCAGATCTGCGTGGGAGGCCTGCCTGCTCTCCGCAGAGCCCCCCATTATATAAGCAATAAATCTCTCCTATCTTGTTGGTGTGTGTGTGACATCATCAACCTTGACGTTTCAACCAAATCTTAGGTGGGGATCCATCCTCTCTCTGCACACAGGCCAGAAAACAATCATCCTTAGCATGCAGCCCCTGGGCCTCCCACATGCCAACAGCAGGCGGGCTGAGAAGGGGCACACTTCACACAGGGCACATGCCTTGCAACTGGCCGCAGTCCCCACCACGCCCAACTGCCTTACTCCAGCCTGCCGCACTCATTCCCACTGTTGCCCGGCCCTGCAGGTGGGTAGGCGCAGAGTCCTAGGTCTAAGAGAAAGCTGCCTAGCGGCAGGTCTGCAGCTAGGGACATGGCTTCCATTCCCATTCTCAGGAAGGGGTCCCCTCCCACTGTCCTGGTGCTGAGACGACCCAGTCCCCGGCCGCCCATGGACAGAGCGTACCTTCATAGAGAATGCCCTGGTCGTCCCTGGTCTGGAGGAACTTCAGCTTCCACTGTCGCCCACTCTTGTCTGTCAGCACTGTCCCTGTGGGCAAAGCTTCAAGTGAGGTGGTCACCCGGCTCCGCTTCAGTGTCTGAGGGCTCCGCTTCAGCGTCTGAGGGCTGCAGCTGGTCTTCTGAGGGCTCTGCTTGGTCTTCTGAGGGCTGCAGCTGGTCTTCTGAGGGCTCCGCTTCAGTGTCTGAGGGCTCTGCCTGGTCTTCTGAGGGCTCTTCCTGGTCTTCTGAGGGCTGCTTTTGGGGGTTGAGGGTCTGCTCCCGGACCCTGCAGGAGGATGGTAAGAATAAAGCAAAAGCACCATCCAGGAGAGAAAAGTTGGATGGGGAGTGAAACAGTATGCAAACTACTGTTCCTTTATGAATTCGTTCATTCAACAAACACTTCCTTGGACCTTCTATGAGTCAGGCCTTTGAGTGATGACACTGGGGTACAAGATAGGAGTCAGACCTGCATCCTTCCCTCAGGAGTGCCCAGTTTGGTGGGCAAGTCTACACTAGACACAGCCAGTCAGATGCGGGTCTGAGACAGGGCAGCACAGACAGATATTAGGGCCCAAAAGAGAACGAGATCCTGCCTGGAGAAGTCAGGGTAAGCTTCCTGGAGGAAGGGATTAGTTAGAGTTGGGTCTTGTTGGATGAGTAGAAGTTTGCCAGGGAAAAAAGGACATTCTAGACATTTACGCAAAAACATCCTGAAAAAGGACTCAGTCCTGAGATAGAAAGGGGCCAAAAAATTTGTTAGACCAAAGCCCTGCCCTGGAAGGGTTCCTAGACTGGCAAGAGAATGGGGCGGGTGTGGTGGCAGACAGATCTGGACACAGGAAAAGACATCGTTTACTCCGTTCCTCCCACCCACCATCCCCTAAAGGCAAGTAATGGCAAGAGGCCTCCAGGCACAGAGGATAATGAGGAGCAAAGGGGACACCTCACACTGCCACTGCGGCTATGGCTTCGGATCCAGGGGCCCAGCGAACAGAAGGAACACAGTCCTCAGGCCTCCCGTGTCCTGGGCACTGGCTGGGCACAGGGAATATACACAAGTTGTGCTGGGTCCTTGCCCGCAAAGGGCCCCCAGTCCAGAAAGTGAGGCAGAAAGGCCCGTGGAGCCTACAGTGACATGCGCTCCAATGAAGGCTGCAGCAGGCATGGGGGGTGCCAGATAAAGAGGCTGGAAAGAGGCTCTGGTGGACGATGAGGAGGTCTGGATGCGAGCCTACGGCACTCAAGAGAAGCTTCCTAGAGACCAGACTGGCTGCGTGGCAGTACACAAGGCCAAGACGGAAGGTGAGAGTGTCCTGGGCTGAGGGAACAGGCTTAGCAAAGACCAAGGTTAATCCCCAAAAGTGTTTTCTGGGGAAAGACTGTGTTGAGGGCGAAAGCAGGAACCAGGCCACACAGATGCCAGACTGAAGAGCTTGGTCTGAAGGCACTAGGAACAGTAGGAGGCTGTGTGCAGGGAGGGGCCGGGGCAGCTCTGGGTGCCATAAAGACCCATCTGGGGCCATTCAGAGGCAGTCTGGAGGGGGAGATGGGAAGCTGGAGTCAGAGAACAGGCAGAGATGGACAATGCGTGAGCCAGGACTGTGGCAGTTTTGTCCCAAAGATCATTAGACAACCCAACTTTGCTCCACTTAGAGTCAGGCCAGATGGACCTTAACTCTTACCTTTGGATCTCTCAGAGGAACTCAGAGTATCTTCAGACTCAGAACTGTCACCATCTGAGAAGAGGGACAATCGGGGAGAGGTGACGGTGCTGGACCACTTCACTTTCTTAGGAGAGGTTTCAAAACTGGAGTTCAGCCCTCTCTTTGAGCCTAAAGAAAGGCAGACAAAACGCAGACTGGAGTTACAAAGGCCCCTTTGCAGGCTCCACTGGACTGGAAGCCCTGAGGTTATATTCAGCTATGCTCTTCTCTTTGGCCCTCAACACCAATTCTTGCTTCTTCTATCACATAAATATCTAAGTAAACTGTTCCTCTTAGTTGTTCTCACCTTCTTAGGTCCTAGCCTCTCCTGTATCTTCTAGCACTTTGCCACTCTGTGTCCTTTCTACATAATTTCTTTATATGTACGTACATTTGAGATGGAGTCTCACTCTGTTGCCCAGGCTGGAGTGCAGTGGTATGATCCTGGCTCATTGCAACCTCTGCCTCCTGGGTTCAAGCAATTCTCCTGCCTCAGCATCCCAAGTAGCTGGGATTACAGGCATGCATCAACACATTCAGCTAATTTTTATAGTTTTAGTAGAGACAGGGTTTCACCATGTTGGCCAGACTGATCTTGAACTCCTGACCTCAAGTGATCCACCAGCCTCAGTCTTCCAAAGTGTTGGGATTACAGGCATGAGCCACCATGCCCAGCCTCTTCCATGTAATTTCTTAAAATTTATCTTCTGGTTAACTAATTCTCCCTTCAGCTATGTCTAGTCTGCTGTTTTAACCACCCACTGAGGTTCTGATTACAACGATTATATACACACACACACACACATATTTATACACACACACACACACACACACACGATTGTGTATATATATACACGTACGTATATACACATATATAGACACATACATATACATATATACACATATAATCATTAGAGTTTTTATTTGGTTCCTTATTTGCCTGTGCAACTTTAACCTATTCCTTCATTACACTTTCAATTTGTTGTTTTATTTATTTAAATGTATTAAGCATGTTTTGTAAACATCCTCATCTATTAATTCTAAGGTCTGTGGTCTTGGCAGGTCTGATTCTGTAGTTTGCTGTTTCTGTTGACTCTCAGGCTAGCTTATTTCCAGGTGTCTTTGTAAATCAACAGAGATGGGTGCTTATGTTCCTTGGACACTGACCTGTGGTAATTCCCTAAGGTTTGTCTTTAAAGGACGTTTTCCAAGAGAAGATTTGTTTATATCAGGCAGGGAGTGGTACCCACATCTCACCACTTCAAGTTAAATGTTCAGCTTGCATTTTGGGGGACCACACAGATCAGTGTGAATTCTGGCTCCAAACTGGTGAGAATGTAAATTCTTGATTAGGAATTCTCATAGAAAGCTGGGTGTGGTGGCTCTGCCTATAATCCCAGCACTTTGGGAGGCTGGGGCGGGTGGATCGCCTGAGGTCAGGAGTTGAGGCCAGCCTGTCCAACATGGTGAAACCCTGTCTCTACTAAAAATATAAAAATTAGCTGGGTGTGGTGGCAGGTGCCTGTAAACTCAGCTACTTGAGAAGCTGAGGCAAGAGAATCACTTGAACATGGGAGGTGGAGGTTGCACTGAGCCAAGATTACACCACTGCACTCTAGCCTGGGTGACAGAGTAAGACTGTCTCAAAAAAAAAAAAAAAAAGGAATTATCAAAGAAGACATTCCTCCTTTTTTTACCCACCACCAAGGCTGACAAATGTCTCCACCAATTTTCTCAGTGGAACAATTACTTCTGCTGTAGTTCGCCCACTGAGGAGCCCCAGATTTAAGAGGAGCTTAAGAAACATGTCCTTTCTTTTTAGTTGACACTGACTAACTCAGCCAGCATGGTTGGTCCCTGGGCTACTGGAATGGCCTCCTAACTGGTTTCCATGCCTCGAATCCATTTTCCACACAGAGAAGCCACAGAAGTCTTTCCAAAACGCAAAGCCTATCGTGTTGCCTACTTGGCAGAAGCTCTTCCGCAGCTCTCCACGTCACCAACGGTTAAAACCAAACTCCTTCCCGTGGCCTTGCCTGTCTTCCCCCAGGCGGAAATGTTTCTTACTCCTCCAGTGTGCCTGGCTCCCTTCACCTCACATCTGCTCCCCATATCACGTCCCAGTGCCTGGAACACACGTGCCAACTCCCACCTTGCTCATTCTTTTTTTTTTTTTTTTGAGACGGAGTTTGCTCTTGTTGCCCAGGCTGGAGTGCAATGGCACAATCTCGGCTCACCACAACCTCTCCCTCCCGGGTTCAAGTGATTCTCCTGCCTCAGCCTCCCGAGTGAGTAGCTGGGATTACAGGCACGCGCTACCTCGCCCGGCTAATTTTTTATTTTTAGTAAAGACAGGGTTTCTCCATGTTGGTGAGGCTGGTCTCAAACTCCCGACCTCAGGTGATCAGGCTGCCTCAGCCTCACAAAGTGCTGGGATTACAGTTGTGAGCCACTGTGCCCGGCCCATTCTTTTTCATCCCTAGCTCAGTTCAAACTTTACCCACGTAGGGAGGTTTTCCCTGATCCCCTGAAAAACATGTTCCCTTATATGTGTTCCAGGGTCCATTCAGTTCCCCTCTGTTATCATGCAACCTACTGATAATCATGTACTCAATGTCTGTCACCTTACTGAGCTGTAAAAACTATGAGAGAACAGAAACCACGGCTGTCTCGTTTCTTACCATAATCCTCAGGACAAATATAGCACCTCAGCACATGGCCGGTCACTCACACATATTTGCCATCTGAGGACTGAGGGAGTGAATAACGAACTGGGCTCTAGGTCAGCATTAGGAAAGGCAGAGGTTGGGTTAAGAACTGACTCTGGCCAGGCACAGTGGCTCATGCCTGTAATCCCAACACTTTGGGAGGCCAGATGGGTGGATCACCTGAGGTCAGGAGTTCAAGACCAGCCTGGCCAACATGGTGAAACCCGGTTTCTACTAAAAATACAAAAATTAGCCAGGTGTAATGTTGCACGGCTATAATACCAGCTACTAGGGAGGCTGAGGCAGGAGAATCGCTTGAACCTGGGAGGTGGAGGTTGCAGTGAGCCGAGATTGTGCCACTACACTCCAGCCTGGGTGACAGAGCCAGACTCTGTCTTAAAAAAACAAACGCCAGGCGCAGTGGCTCACGCCTGTAATGCCAGCACTTTGGGAGGCCAAGGTGGGTGGATCACGAGGTCAGGAGATGGATACCATCCTGACTAACACAGTAAAACCCCGTCTCTACTAAAAATACAAAAAATTAGCCGGGTGTGGTGGCGGGTGCCTGTAGTCCCAGCTACTCAGGAGGCTGAAGCAGGAGAACAGCGAGAACCCGGGAGGTGGAGCTTGCAGTGAGCCAAGATCGCGCCACTGCACTCCAGCCTGTGCGACAGAGCAAGACTCCATCTCAAACAAAACGAAACAAAACACAACAAAAAAAACACTCTGACTCTCAAGTTGGGCCAAGGCCAACGCTGTTCACATTTGCCTGGAACTGTGGAGATGAAGAAGTCAACTTGAGACCTCAAGGCAGTAAGCATGGGAACAAAAGCTATATGCTAAGGATGGCTCAGTGGAAAGACAGAGGAGCCTGGGTCCCTTAGGGCATCATAGGGACACTATCCCAACACGCACTGTCTCCTTTTTTCAGTAAGAAAAATACTGCTCTACATACTTGCCAGTGAAAGAAAATAAAAATAAACCCAATCATTTGTTTAAACCCTTGTCATAGCATTTTCTGTTATTTGCAGCTAAATATACTCCCAAATGATAAAACGAATGTCACTCAACTCCCCGCCATGTAGGCTGACTGCCTTCTGCACAACTGTCCGATGGGTAAACCCTCTTTGATTTACCAACATTGTATCTGGGCTTGGGCCTTCCAGTGAGCAAGACCGAACTATTGCTATTTAATTCATTCAACCAGTCAGTAAGATTTCTCAGCACCTGATACCGTGCCAGGCACAGATCCAGGTGCTGTGCTAACAGCAGGTTACAAAACCATAATCAACACAGGTTACAGAAACACAAAAAGTTTCTGTCCTCATGGAGCTTACAGAAGCAGCAATATAAGTAAAATATTGTATTTAATAGGGTTGAGACAAGTACCAAAAACAAATACACGGCAAGGAAGGGGGACAGGATCATTGCATAGAGGGAAGATGCAACTTTAATTAGTAGTGACAGGGAAAGTGTCTCTGAGAAAGTGACAACTGAATAAATACCTGAAGGCATGGATGGGCGCAGTGGCTCATGCAATCCAACACTTTGGGAGGCCGAGGCTGGTGGATCACTTCAGGCCAGGAGTTCAAGACCAGCCTGGCCAACGTGGTGAAACCCCATCTCTACCGAAAATACAAAAATCAGCCGGGCATGGTGGTACATACCTGTGATCCCAGCTACTCGGGAAGTTGAGGCACAAGAATCACTTGAACCCGGGAGGCGGAGGTTGCAGTGAGCTGAGATTGTGCCACTGCACCCCAGCCTGGGCGACAAAGCCAGACTCAGTCTCAAAAACAAAAACAAAAACAACAAAAAACAAAACCTGAAGGCAGTGAAAGAGTGGGGCATGCAGGCCCATAAGGGAAGAGGCATCCAGGAGGCAGCGGCAAGCGCACAGGCTGAGGCCCAGGCATGCTGAGGCGTGGAGGGGCAGCCGGGAGGCCGGTGCAGCTGGAACAGCACGGGCAACAGCAGGAGGGTCGGGAGGTGGAGTCTGAGGGGAAATGGGGACCTGGTCCTGTCGCTTCACGTGGGAAAGTACGAGCAGAGGAATGACGGGCTCTGACTCTGTATTCACAGGACCCCTCTGGCGGCTGCGTGAAGAGGACTACAGGGACAAGACAGGGGAGCCGAGGGCAAAAAGGCTTCTGCACAAGAGAGGTGAGGGCAAGGGATGTGGGAGGTGTGGGGAAGGAAGTGGGCTGATACTGCACTGATTGTAGAGGGAGCCAACAAGATTTGCTGAAGGGGTGGGCGGGTCAAGGGGTTGGAGACAAAGAGAACTCATGCATGACCCCCAGGGTCCGGCCTGAGAAACTGGACGGAGGGCTATTCTCGGCAATGGGGAAGTCTATGGCAGGGCAGGCGGCAGGAACACCAGGAGCTCAGGTGAAGGCAAGTTCAGACTGAGATGTGATCAGGACATCCAACACAGGTTAAGCATCCCAAATCCAGAAATCTGAAATGCAAAATGCTCCAAAATCTGAAACTTTGAGTGCCAACAGGATGCTCAAAGGAAATTTCACTGGGCTACTGTGGAGTTCAGATTTTTTTTTTTTTTTTTTTT